GGGTTTTGGGTGCCCTCCCTTCTGCAGGGGCAGCCAAGGAAGCGGAGGATCGGGCTGGTGTCCCAGACAGCCACCACGACAGCAGGAGAGGAGACAACGAGCACAGTGAAGTGAGTTCCTGCCACCGGCTGCAGATTCACGAGCCTGACTGCAAAACCGGCAAAGCAGTTTGGCATTTTTAAAACTTCATTCAATGTTAGGTTACATTTAAACTTAAGTGAAATCTCTAATAATGTGCCAAAGGCCCATAAGCCTGCAGTTCTCTGTGGGAAAGGCCAAGACTGTAGCTGAGCCAAGGAGTGAGAGGAAGAGTTCTGTCCTAGTTAGGGTTACAGCATCTGATCCCTAGTGTTGAAATGAAGAATTGCAAAAACCATTTGCATTGGCCCTTAAGATTTATCAGATTTAAACAGATATTTAACTGTTTGTTTACTGGGCACACTTAGAAGCAGATTAAAAAAAAGCTTAAGGTATAGTTTTAAGAGACATCCTTAAATGTTTTTAATTTCAGAAGTATTACTCACATAACTAGAGGACTTATGACTATTAGTTATGTACTCTCTTAACAAAATATTTTTAAAATTGAACTAGTTCTAAGAAAGGAAGGGTTTTGTTTAAATGTGTTGTCCATTGCTAATACCATTGATCAATTCATCAGTCATCTTTTGGTGCGTCATTATGTCACCTCCGCTTCCTTCATGCAGCTGTCTTTGGAGGGCAGGTCCCAAAGGCAGTTCTGATTCATCTAATTCATCAAATCATTAAATATGTGGGCAACAAGTGAGTAGTATCCTTGATGATACCAGGCTTCAAATCAGGTGTTCCTAGACAGCTAGGGTGGATTTTGTCTCACCCAATTTTAGATTTTAGCAATATAAACATAGACTTTTAGGCAATTGTGTGGTTTCTCTTTTTACTAGGCAGAGAGAAATGGGAGACACGTTGTAGCTGAATGTAGCTCTGTGACAGAGGTCAAACAAGATGGTCCTAGAAATGCCCATTTCTCTCCTTTTGCCTCTAAAGGGGTCTGGGCAGTTAGCTTAGCTCCAGCTCTCTCCATTGAGGACATCTTGGCACAAGCAAAGTGAAGCTTCTACTTGTTGTGACCACCTGTGTTGGAGACTACTCCAATGTGAGTAACTAGTATAGGACCTCTCCTGTTTTAGCTTAAAATAATGAAAAATTGCATTTAAAATGTTGGCTTCTGCTCCGGTGTGCTTTGTCTATGACACCGCCAAGGTTCTCGGTCAATTTAGTTATCAAGAATCACAGAGTAGAGTGGTTGAAGCTGGGAGATCTCTGATCTCCAGAGACCGTCTAGTCCAAGACCATCTAGTCCAACCCCCCTGCTCCAGCAGGGCCACCCAGAGCATGGGGCACAGGGCCACATCCAGGCCTGTTTGGAAGATCTCCAGGGAAGGAGACTCCACAACTGCTCTGGGCAGCCTGTTCCAGGGTTCTGGCACCCTCACACTCGATAAGTTTTTCCTCAAATTTAGGAAAACTTAGCAAATTTAGGCAGAACTTTCTGTGCTTCCATTTGTGGCCGTTGCCTCTTGTCCTGTCTCTGGCCACCATTGAAAATAGTGGCCTCTCTTCTTACTGAAGTCAAGGGAGCCAATATCTGTGGCTCTCCCCTCGTCTACCCCGGCGGTCAGTCCATCACAGAAGGCTATCAGATTGGTTAGGTGTGATTTGTCCTTGGGGAATCCATGCTGACTCCTCCTGATCACCTTCTTGTCCTCCATATGCTTAGAGATGACGCGCAGCATGTCCATGTTCCATCACTTTTCGAGGGAGAGAGGTGAGGCTGACTGGGCTCGTGTTTCAGATTTTCAGAATTTCAGCCTTGACTGATCTCTCCTCTCTTGTCCTTTTTACTGTAGACCTTCCATATTGTTTCGTTGTGGCTTTCTCTGTTCTAAATCCTCAAAAACCTGCTTGCGTTTAGACAGCACCTTTCTTACCAGGCCGCAGCCATGTGAGGAAACCACGGGAGTATAAACGAGGGTCTGAGCTGAGTACGCAAGGCCCCCTGTGCACAAGTACACTCGTGGGCATACCCGTGCTCCCAGGAGAGGCGCCCGGTGGATATTCCTTTTTATTCAGGGATAAGCAGGCTGTGTTTGCCGTGGGGTGGGAGCAGGCCCCCGTGCCGTGGCCCTGATCTACCCCACGCTGGTTTATTGAGGTGCCCGTCTGCCCAGGCGCTTCCTCACGGCGCTGGGGCAAGGCCTGAGTCACTTTCCACGGGGCTTCTCCTCTAGGCTTAGCTAAGGCTGCTGATTATTGGGTTTTTGCTAATTACAAGGATTTAGATTAGTTAGTTCTTTTTATAGTACGTCTTGACAATGGATATTAAGCATAATAACAGCCTTTTTGTGATCTCCCTTTACCTGTCTCATGCCATTTCAATGCAGTGCCTCGCTTACCCTTTTCACTCTACTTTTTCACTGCAGCCTTTGATTTGAACTAGCGTGGACTGGGCTGAGTGTAACAACTCACAGTAGATATCTGCCTTGTGTACGTGTTGCTGCTTTATCACCAAGTTGCTTCAGCTTGCTGAAGAAATAAGAAAGTACAAGCCTGGAATTAAAGGAACTTTTAATGTAATTCTCTGAATAACCATGCAGGGAAGTGCTGTGGACACGAGCACTGTGCATGGTCCCAGCCGTGCCTGCCAGGCAGGACCTGTAGTCCCCTTTGGCAGAGAACAGTTGTATTTTGTTTCACCCTGAGCTCTCCCGCAGTCCCAGAGGAGTGACTTACCCTGGAACTCCATCACTGTGCAGCAAATAACATTATTTTTTTTCCTTTAAAGCTAAAAAGTATGTTTTGTTCAACCCTGTAACCACAAATCTGAAAAAAAAAACACTTTTCATCAATAAGAATTCAGCAGCACTTATTGAAAATTAACTTTTAATAACACTAATTAAAGTTCTTATTTATATGGACATTGAAAGTACCTCAGAGCAAATATTGCACAGTGCTTCTGGTCATCTGCTGCTGTAAGAAGTGTAAGATTGGTCTGGCTAAGTGGCACTGTGAAAAATACCCATATTGTGGTATGGGGAACCATGCTGCAGCCATTTGCTTTCCTGTAATGCTCTTTGTGTAGTGTCTGCTGCTCAGAGCTCCAGGTCGTAAGTAACTTTTTGCTGTGCAGTTCAAATAATAGATGAATAATTTGATGATCTGTCCCTTTAGGGTGAATTTAAATTCATTTTTAGTAGGAAACTGTGTTGTTACCAAGAGCAGTTAACACCAAAAATATGTGTGTTTTGAAACATAATTACTGATCACACCTAGTAAGTGATTTTAGTTCAGTCATTTTAAGAAATGTAGAGAGCACCTACTCGCTATCATCATTTTTTAATATCCAGTAAAAGTCATTTTATTATAAAATATAGGATATCTTTTTTCTTTATTAAAAGCTCAGAGAAATAATTAAGGACATTTTGTTAGGATACAAATTGGCTTACAAATTGGAAAAATCTGTTGTGATACCACTGATATGATAAATAAGAGGACTGATAGCTAATTTGGTTGAAAAAGCTTTGGTAAGTATTTACTTTTCATTAAAGCCTTCCAAATATACTCTAAATGAAATGAAGTCCTCCTGAAAGCCCAGTTTTTGATTAAACAAGCTAATGCTGTAAACAAGTCGTGTGGAAATTCATTTGAGGTCGGGATTGTATGTATTGAGAATTATGTAGCAAGTCCTTTTTTATTAGCCATCAAAACATGAAGATCTGATAAAATGGTTCCAAACTTTTCTACGTTAGATCTGCTTACTGACTTTCTGTTACTTTGTAGAACCAGACGCTGAAATTGCTTCGTCTTCAAAGCCAGAAGAAAGTTTCTACACTGACGATTACAATCCCTTCAAAGATGATGATGCCCCAGAGTACTTGAACCCATTCGATGAGCCAGATCCGGAGCCCGAATCGTCTGTCACCGTAAGAGCTTCTCCTCCACAACCTGCAAAAAGGAAGAACGTCAGACCAGTGGATATGAGCAAATACCTCTATGCAGATACCTCCAAAGCTGAAGAGGAAGAGCTCGATGAGTAAGTATGATTCTAGATCTTTCAGCAAGCTTGGAAGCATTAGTGGGATCTCTGGCTTAATCTTGAAGCATTGGGTTCAACCATGGTGAGCCTTAATCACCTCCTGAGGACAGGCTGATCTTCAGCTGAGCAGCAGGAAATCCCGTGCCCCCCAGTCATGATGTTCGGCTGTAGAGCTCCAAGTGGTGAGTTAGGAAACTCTTCTTTGCCTTGTTGATAGCAAATTGCTTGATAGGGAGCAGGTATCTTCTTGATACTCCATGACCTGCAGTTGTCGATGAGCTAAAAAATGAAGGTGCAACTGAGTTTGGCCCTTCCTGTCTTTTTGTCATCATTTCTTCCCACATCAAATAATAAATTCTGCTGCAGAGAGTGGAAGGGCTTTTTAGACGGGCGCAGTATGTGTAAAGAAGGGTTTTGCATAGTCTGCTTAGCACATTCTGGGGAGTCTCATAAAACTCCATATAACAAAGATAACACCATATATAATTTCTTAAGCTGTTTCTTTTATCCTAACCACACGGTAAAGTTTATTATAAAGCAGCTGTGGCTGCCTTGTAAAGGAGCCCAGCAAGGAGTGAGAGGTTTTTGCAATAGCTGTGCAGCTTGGGAGGTTTGAGTACTGCTTGTTCGTGGTTATTAGTCAGCAACCACACCGCTCCCGAGACAGTTTATGCTTATTACACACGAGCAATTTTACAGACAACAACTGTAATTAACTTTTAATTTTAAAGTACTTAATGAGATTTATCATGGCATGACATTTGCATTGCTTTAATATTTAATATTAATACAGGTGTCACACCATCACCTTCGCGTTTGCTCTGTTTATAGCTGTGTTCTAGGAAACTGAAGAATTCCCATGCACTCTAATGGAAATGCAGGAGGGACTCTGCGGGTTGTTTTTCCTTCTCAGGCTCTGGGGCCTGGATTGGTTGATGCTGGTGGTTGTTCTGGAGGAAACCAGGGTGTTTGGGGGTGGTTTCCACGCGGGCTGTGGTCAGGGGGTAGGGAGTAGAGCACTGTGGAGAAGAGCAGGAGGAGCAAAACCTACCTGTGAGCGCAAGTGACAGTTGTCTATATTTATATTCCCGTTTCCACAGAAGCAAATCTGTGCCAAAAGAGCTGTGGCAATGTTGTAAAGGGCAGCCTGTTCCTCTCCCGTGCGTGGGACCATAGATTTCATTAACTCTTTGTTACAACAGCCTCCTTTCCATTGTCATGATCCTACTTGTTATATTCTTTTTACAAGAGGAAAAATTAAACTCCCTGTAGATGGCTTTTCCTTAAACATAAAGCTGGTCTATGATTTCATTTACGATGGCGTCATCCCGTGGAAAGATGGAAGGATAAGGTGTCAAGCAGCACTGCCAGATAGTTTTCTGCATCTGTTCCTTTATACCCTGACCCCCGAATGGCTGCTCCTTGCCAGTGTTACAGGAGGGTCATGACATTGAAAAAGACACGGAGACAATTTGCTAAATCCATTTGGTACAAGCGTGGCAGCCTCTGAAAATCTGTGCCACTGTCTGGGGAGGAAAAAACGCAGCAGCACAGCTCCCTTTAGGACTGACTGAGTAAGGGCTGCTGTTCTTTGCCTCATGGCCATGAGGTCTCGTGGTTCAGGAGGAAGGCTCTGCTGCGGATGCTGCCCTACATCATGAGGGTTCATGTGCAGATGCGTTTTGTTTCTTGGCTAATGTGCATATCGATGCTTTTATTGGCTACCTAAGTGGCTAATGTTTTCCCAAATCCTATTAAAGCCTAGGCTTCAGTGTCAATTTGTGGCAGAGAGTCCCACAAGTAAACAAGGTATTATATGAAATGTGTTTCCTTTTATTGATTGAAAGTTAACTTTCAGATTTGTTAGGCAGGCCCTTCTGCTGGCTTATAAAAACAACAATTAGTAGTATCTGATTTAGCTACCACAAACCATTTGTCGGTTTATGTCTCTCTAGCATATTCACCATTACCTGTTGCTTTTCTGAATTAAATGACCGTTTCAATCTCTCTTCATGCAGCAGTCTCTTCATGTCTGTAATCATTTTCATCGCACGTCTCTGGATCCTCTTATTTCTTCTACCGTATATTTATTTTGAGCTGTACTGACTTGGCCTGAGCAGTGCACTCAAGACAAAGTTGAGCAACTGGGTCATATCATGGCACTCAAAAACTTCCACCTTCCTTTCAACCTCTCTCCTAACACCTTCTCTTTTGATTTTCGTTCTTGTGGTTTGGTTTGGGTTTTCCATCATTTTTGACTACTGCTGGGCCAGGGCTTTCCCTGGAGTGGTTGGAACCTGATAGATGGGAGGCCAGGAGGCTCCCGAAGGACATTGACCATCTCTCGGGAAATACGATGTGTTTTAACCCTGCAACTTAACGATCTTGTTGGAGTTTGCTTTGGCACTTCCCTCCTCTCCTTCGGGTGGAATGCGAGGCTGTGTCCTAGGAGCGCGGCCGCGTCGCTTAGAGCCCTGCAGGACTCTCTTATTTTCCCTTTGGCAACGGGCTGGTTCTCACTGGGCCCTCCGCGTTTGCACAAAGTGCCCCGAGAGCTGCACTCTGGTTCCAGTTTTGTAACCAACTCTTCGTAATCTTGGAAAAGATACTTATCCTCGCTGTGCCTCCGCGCAGGATTTACCTTAGGTAATTGCCTTAATTGGAACACGTTTCAGCAGTGGTTGTGAAGATAACCTGAGATTTCACAACATGCATAAGCAAAGCCTGACCACAAGCATAGGCGTAAAAAGACATTGCACGGCGAAGATGAACTTAGATGTTCCATTACATATATTCGGTTGTAAAACTGCCGTCTCAGAACATATTTCCTCTGGCTAAATTCTCCTATCTGCTGAGAGATAAGGAACACATTTTCCTTTTATTAGTTTGGGCATTGAAATGTTAGAGTGCAATTCTGCTTGTGCCTTTTTTATTTATACACTAAAACCAAAACGTTAGGTAACCATTAATGATGTTAAATCGGAATGCTAGGTGATGATTAATAAAGAACACTTCGCTGTGCTAATTTGAGTTTAATTAAGTGCCAATAGCAGAGTTCACAGCTATTTTAAGTACAATGCTTTTGACCTTAGTATTTTATTTGATAATAGCCTGTTCTCTGAAAACACTGAAGCTTTGTTTTCCTCTTCAATAAAACTTTTTTTTTTTTCCAGCTACCCAGTAATGTGGATCCAAAGCATTTTTCCATTGGTCAGAATAAAACTTGCTTTCAGATATTACTTGGCTCTGTAGTGTCTTATCTCTTGAACCATTGCATGGGTTAGAACGAAGGCTGGAAAGACTATCTAGTTGCTATCGATTTTAAGTTGGCTGTTATAAAACAAGCCACAGGCCACCGCACTGCTGGTGACTTGTTAATTCCTTTATTATTATTAATAATAATAATTTTTGTGGTGGGCAGTCTGTTATCTCTTTAGATAAATCCGACTGAACACCATCACTGAAGCCAAAAGCAGGTGGGCAGAGTTCAGAAAAGAGGGCATTAATATATTGCAGCTGCAGCTTCTTTTTCTACCAGAATTCTGGGTTTTTCTGCTTGTGTAGCTGCCACCACCGGCTTCAACATCTGCACTGAGAGTGTGAGGAGCAGAGGGGGCTTTTGTCTGTGGCCAAGTGAATTCTTCAGCAATCTCTTCTCAACATTCAGATATCCGAGAAGTTTATAAGACCGGTTAAAAAAGGTGAAAAGAAAAAGGGGAAAAACAACATGGTCGTTGTCTAGAGTGTCTAAAGTAGAGCTCTGTTCTTCCTCCTCTATGATACGAGCAGCAGATCGTGGAGAAGCTGGAGTTCTGGGCAGCTTTCTCGGACGTGGTTCAGCTGGCTTTGCCAGGCGGAAGAAGACCTGTTTCCTGCGGCGTGGCATATTAGAGGGTTGCTCCAACCCAGGGAAGAGAGGACGGGGCAAAATGCATTAAAATAAATTCTAAAAGCAGGCCATGAGACCGAAAGAAATTTTAATACTCTAAAATGCATTAAAATAAATTCTAAAAGCGGAAATTTTAATACTCAAAGTATACAAATCTGAGAGAAATTGTTAGTGCTGTGTGAAGCGAATCTGGAAGAATCGTTGATCTTTTCATTTAGGCCCAAATTTTACCATCTTGGCCAACTATAATCTGTGTGTTCTAGGTTGCCTCTTGTAGCCTAAGAGGAAATGTGTAAATGGGCTCTTGCCCCACGCTGGACACGCTGATATGCAGAACTGAATTCAGCTTGTTCTGCTTAGCTACCCTTTATAGAGCTGCATGCAGAGCAGTCGTTGCAGGGATTTCCTTCCCTAAATGTAGTTCAGCAGATAGGTGTCGGGTAGGGGAAGCATGGGGAGGAGAAAGGCATTAATTAAACTATCAGGTAAGTAATAGTCCTTTTTCAGGATAAGTTGGCAAATGTGAAAAAACAAGTTCATAAATAAATAATTTGGTACAAAGAAGCTTCCCATGTGTGTCGTTAGCAGGATATAAAATTTCTGCCTCTTTCAAGTGCATAGTATAAAGCATTATGCTACACAGAGAGTATCAACTGATGGTATCAAAGTAATAGATAACGTTTTGAAAAGATAAGAAAATATTCATTTAGGGTGGAGCAATTAGCGAGTAGGAATGTGAATGCCAAAGTTAAGAGTGCAAAGTTGTTGGAGTGCATCCATTTTAGAAGATTTTTACTAGGTTTCTTAAAAGCTTAAAAGTAATAAAAAGTGCTTTCAAACAAGACAGATTAAGCAAGTGGAACCTGTAGAGAGCTGGGTTTTTTGGTTAGTGCTGTTCTCTTATCCCAGGGGTGTTTTGAAGTGATTATTTGCTGCAGGGATTAAAATATCCTGGATATGAAATACAGACCTGCTGTGGCCAGAGTTTTCAGACTGGAATCTTGGACAGAGGCTTCTAAAGCTGCATTTAACTGTGCAATAAAAGTGACCTGATTCTCAGCATTTGCTTATGCCACAGCCAGCAACTTCACTCACATCTTAGCTCACATTTATGGCATTTTAAGTTTTTTTAATAAAAATTCTAAAAATTCTGTCCTAATGCTTTTTTAATTTTTGGTAGCTCACTTAGGAAACAGGAAAAAATGTCATTTCGAAGAAGGTAAAAGCAAAATAATTTCTCATATGTGGTAATAAATCCATCTTTGTCATCAGACCCTCTGCACATTATTTTCGTTTTGATGTCCAAGTTTGAGCTCTTTGATCGCAAAGAAATGTCTCCCTTCTTTTAATTAGATCAAACCCATTTTATGAACCAAAACCAAGCCCTGCTTTAATTAAAGTTGCTCCGCTGCAAGAACCAGAGAAGAAGATGAAAAGAAAGGCTCCCGAACCACCAAACCTCTTGCCAAAGACAGAGCCAGGGACGAGTGAGAACATCTCAGCTATTCCGGCATCGAAGGAGCTTTCGGCTTCTCCCAAGGTAGGTTTTTTGTACCAGTTTTTTTGTCTTTATTATTAAAGATACCATTCTGGGTATTGTAGATATCCTCTTTATTTCTGCAGGCCTTCTTAAAAGCTTTGCTTGTACCTAGTAAGGTGTTGTCTCATTCTGTTCACTTACTGGTTCATAGTGGGGAAGCAGCAGTAGGAGCATGTCTGTTTTTAAGGATTTAATGGCAACAGTATCAGAAACTCCAGTTTCGAAGAAAAGAGTCTTCTAGTAACGGATGTTACAGGACAGCTGGATATATGACTGAGAAGGAAGAAAATCGTGTTGAACAATCCTTTGTCTTGATCTATTGTAATGTCACTAAGATTTGCCCCTGTTGAAGAGCCTGTCTCCCCATTTCTGTCATAAATCTGGGTTTTAAGAGCTTAGTACTTGATAGTGTTTGTTTGTGTTAGGATTTACATTTGTCCGGATCCATAGTTATGTGGAAGTACTTTCTATAAAAGTCACAGCTTTAAATCAGATTAGCAGGTTTTTTCAGGATCGTCCAGACTAAGCATACAGATATATGTGCACATACTTCTGTTTCTCAGACTGACGGTTTGGGTTCAGGTTTTTTGAAGAGACAACGTGCAGAGCAGATAGTCCAAGCTACAGCCGCTCGTTTCGGTGAGTGTGAGTCGAGTGCCAGTGTTTCCACAGTGAGCAGCCCTTGTGCATCTCGACACAAACGGAGCAGTTAGTGCGTGTGTAAGAGACCTTTTCCAAACCAAATCTGCTCTATCCTCCCTGCATGTTTTTAAGGATTGGAAGCTGAGGACAGAGCGCTGCCTTTCCAAGCACATCCCTCATGACTTATGTGTATTTTTATCTGTTTTGCCTTGTGTTGGTGCTGCTGTATAGTAATTTAAGGATTGAGTGAAACTACTTGTCATGCTTATTTTGTCGCTTAATTAGGGGATAGGTTGCTGCCGTGTCCCTGTCCCTGCTGCTCTGACCTTACTGGCACCCTCATGCTCAGGGTGAGGAGTCCGAGGGCAGAGATCTAATCCGTGTCTCCTCACAGCAAAGCCCAACAACCTGGAGAAGTCTCCATCACAACTCACAGGTTGTCCTTAATGCACAAAACCACAGCTAGCGAAATGGGGAATCAAAGCAGAACAGTTTTATAACACGCTGAGGTGGGACTGGATCCCATTTGCCAGAGTTTCTCTTTGGAGAATGTTGCCTATACTTGATTTCTGGGGGAAATCAAGGTCAAAGCAAAGTGACCAAGGTAAAGAAAAAAAAAGAAGTTCTGCCTACTTTAGATCAGGCAGAGGAAAGACATCTGTATAAGAGCTAGGGAAGAGATCTTATCCACTCATTTGATGGAGGTTGTGCCCTCTTCGCTTGCTGTGTGACAGTTTATTTTACGGGTCTGCGTCTGAGGAAATGCATCTCCCTGCTTTACTGCACGCCTTTGTGGCACGGACATAACGTGTTATTTGCTGCTGGTCTGGTCTGCCCCAGCCTAAGTTCTAGGTTGTCTGGAAGCTGGAACTGGTTAAGAAAAGGTGACCCACCTCGCTGCAAAGGTGTGTTTCTTGAAACAGGGGCAACTCGGTCCTACTGTTACGCAGAGCGGTGGCTTCTTTTGGTGTGTTGCTGCCCCAAAATCTCAAGTTTTTGCAGGCTTTCGGAGGATGTGAGACCATTAAGGCTGCAAGGCAGATGCTACGTCCTGGTTTATTGTATTACAGCTCAAGTGGAAGGTTTAGCTGACAGGGTGTATTAAAACGCCGTGCGATCGCTCACCATTCCGAAAGCGCCTGCGTTTGAACTGGTTTGTTCTAAGCTGATCTAATAACTTTGGTTCAAAAGCACTTTACCTGGAATGATTCCCAAAGCTCAGAAAACCACTGCCTTTTAAAAAGAAAGGAAAATTAAACCATTTCCTTTACACTGTAATTCAGGATAGTGCTGAGATAGGGCTTGGGCTCTTGGCACAGCTCCTTTGGTTGTTACTCAATAGCAGTGATGATGTTTAGCAACTCCGAAGAACCTCCCGTCAAATGGTATGGGCACTATGCAAACATTACCTTAGCACACGCCCTTATGTGGGGCAAGAGTCCCGTGAGGGTAAACTTAGGTAAATTGGCGTTAAGTAACTAAACTTACTAAGTGATTTGTCCAGGTCTGCTGGGTACAGAAGGCCTCGGAGAGAACTATGGGCAGAGCCCAGGTGTCCTGGCCCGGTGTGGGCCCCGTCTAGGGCCTCGTCGTAGCGGCTGGTTGCAGGGCCTCCTTACCAACCCACAGCAAAATGGAGGTGTGAGGGAAGGACTCCAGTGAAGCCGTTTCTGCCTACTTTAGACCAGGCGAAGCCATGAGGACCAGCATCAATCTAGGGTCTTGCCCCTTTCATATTAATTCTGCGCAGGGGACACTTCTGCTTCTCCAGCTGCTTTAAGTTCATCCCACTGGTTGGCTTCTCCTTGCTGTTTCCACACTCCCTCTCTACACACTGCTCACCTGACCCATTTCAACCGTCCCCCTTCCCGGAGCCATCGCTTACCTGGAACAGCAATCTCTTTAGGCCTCCTGAATAACCTCTCATGGAACAGGCCTCTCCGATGGCCTAGTGATCTCCTGTAATCCTTCTTGGCGAGAAGGGAGCTGTTATCTGTCAGAGATGAGGCAGTGTCAAGCTCTCCATGAAGGTCTAGCTCGGCATTTGCCATGTGTGCGTTGGGAGGAAGTTTGGCCTCCAGGTATTATTACATACAATTATTTCCTAAAGGAGTACCTTATTTTAGCGTATCTTCCCTCCATGTTCTATGAACAAATCTGAGAACAAATCTGAGTTATCAAAGAAAGCCTAATAATTCAAATTGTCGCTCAGTTAATATCCTTAAATGGCCTTGAAGACTATGATGTACTCTCTACATGTAGGCAAGTCTGAAAGCCAAACTGTGGAGCTGTAATTAAGCTCTGCGGTCATTACTGTGCTACAGCACCACCCAACTGCAGTGTTGTTGGGCTTGTAACCATCATGTGTATCCTGCTGATCTCCATATGGTTGGATTAGAAGGTTCCTTCTTTCACAGGGCTGGTAGAGACTTACAATTTCTCCTGCTGGCACTTGACTTTGGGGGGAAGTTGAACATGTTTGGGGTTGAGGAGGTGCTCTTGTGTCAGTGGTTTCGTTTTGTCAGAGCAGTCCTTTCTGCAAACTACACGTGGCCTTTTGATGGGAACATTTGGTGCCAGTGCCTCCCTTTGTTGTGCTTTTGGGAAACAAGATCCAGGTACCGCTCTAGGAGTCAGCAACTGTGTCTGCAGTAGAGAAGCGGGAGCCGTGTATTTCTGCAAAACCTGCTTTAAGGCTTTAAGAGGTTTTACGGCCTCTGTTAGAATGAGGGAGGAGGAAAGCTACTCCATTTATGTGGGAGGTGATGAATTATTTACTAGGCCGCAAGAGGAAACATAATCACCCTCATGGTATTTTTAAGTGTTAAAAGAAGAAAATAGCTCCTCCACTGGCTTGGTGTTACTCATGCTTTCATGGAAGGGTAACATAGACCTTTTCCTTGAGGAAGCCATTAGTGAGAAAGGCTTTTCCTGTTGCTTTTCCTGTTACTGTTTCCTGGTAATTTCGGCTTGGTGCCTGACTGCAGCCGGACCCTGTTGAATGTGGAGTCTGCACATTTCTGGATACTACTTTCTTTAAGATACTGAAAGTCAGTAAATACGCAACATTTGGTGGATCCAGATTGTTCTCACGTGCCCTTTCTTCAGTCTTCAGGGTCTGGAAACCTGTGTTCGTTGGTGCTAGGCGCATGGTTCTCGTGGGTGCATCACACTGGTTGCAGGCCTGGACTTGGTGCCTCACAGAGAGCTCGCTCTCAGTTTCTTGTTGAGTTCTCAGTAAATAAAAAATGTACACTCCAATTTTCCTGATAGCTGTGGTGGCAAACGATCTTGTTTTTAAAAACAAAAAAGGCAAAACTGCCACCAGACCACACTGATAGCCGTGGGTCTGCCCAGCTGGTTTCTGAGGCCACGCTCGGTTGGTGAAGGTCTGTAGCACCAGGACAGGGCACTAAGTCAGCTTCAGCGTGTCACATCGCCAGGCCATTTGCTGGTGTCACTCTTGTGAAAGTCACGGGGCTGTTGACAGTCATGAAAACATACTCTGGAGTTCATAGCCAAGAACTTCTGACGGCCTTTTATGGTGTCAGGAAAGGAGAATATGCAGTCACGTAATAACCCCAAGCCAATAACAACATTTATGACTGTCAGTGCTATTGTCTCAGGTGTCTCTCTCTGGTAGAAACTAATACAAATGTTATGCGTGCTCTGGGATAGCCTACGCCCTCATGCCAGGCAAGCTCTCTGGTTTAAGCTCTGCTAAAACATGCAGGAGAAGTGGTGTGCTGTAATTAGAAATATATGTATTTTTTTCCTGCATCATGTGTAGTAACACATCTCCATCGGGTGCCCGTTGTAGTTCATTGCGTATCTGCAGTGGTTCAGGCTTTTTCAGAAAGCGATTTCTGTCTGATAGGCAGTTTATCCTTATCCAGTTTATCCGGAATCACTTCCATGTGAAAGAAAAGGAGTTCTCAAACACTTTCAAGGGGAGAAGAAGAAAGCTGGAGTTCAAGACAGAATATAAAATGTGAAACTCTTAGGTGAGTTTAATGGGAGTGAAGCAACAGTCTCCCCAGTGCCAGGTGCCACTCTCCAAGATCTCGTAGACGCCGTAGTCTCCGGTTGCTCACTTTTCCTATTCGCGTTTCCTTCGGCTTTATGAACCCTGTGTGATGCAGCGATACGAAGGGCTCATTTGGAAGCACAGGTGGGCAAATCAATACGAGGTGCAGTAATGCTGCCAAGCGGAGGAATTATATTAAACTGTGAACAGCACATGAAGGAGATCACTTATCGTCTCTCAGTATCAAAAATACCTCAATGTCACAACTCCCTGGCTTTCTGGAACATATTCTTTAATGATTTTGCTTCTTTCAGCTTCACATTAGCTGCCG